ACAGAGTGCACGTATCTCTGCGTCCCGCACAGGCCCCTGGCCCCATGTGCATCCCGCACACAACAACAAGGCTGAACAGAGGGATCTAACAGCACCGCTCAGTTTACCGCAACACAAGTGAGGCCCGAGGAGGCAGGCAAATCGCTCACGTACACACAGCTGGATGCTCTCCTTCCACCGCACAAAGCCTGTCTCTTCCCGAACACATACGCACCAGAACTTCCCCATGGCACCCTTCCCAGCTTAACGGGTGCCGAGCTACTAACGCACAAAGGACATTTGCTTCCGAGGCAAACGCGCCGACACTGAACATTTATAGACATCTCGTGTTCAAAAAGAAGCTCTCCAGCACTCCACAAGAGAGGAATCCCTTTTTCTAATATTATACTGCCCAAACCAGATGGGGACTCAGAACACATGAGTCATCGCTCCTACTGCATGGGCGATTCTGGGACTTGAGGCAAGCCGTTCTCTCTCCGTTAGGTATTCTCTCTATGCTGTTCGCTTCTACAGATACTGAATTCCAGGGCTGCTAAAAGGGTAAAACTAAAAATGTCCCCACTGGATTCCATCTCCCTGATGGGAACCCCCATTCTTAGTCCTCAATCTCCCGGCCCTCTGGGAAGTTATGGGAAGTTAGAAGGCCTGGGGCAGGCCTGGGGCATGCTCACCAGGTTTGCTCCTGTGACCCCAGGACCCTGTCTGGCACCTGCCACGTAACCAACGCTCAACAACACCTGCTGTGCAGACTCGTAACACCCATCTTGGCCGGTGTTTACGGTGAAGCCAGGCCTCGGTGACAAAGCTCATCACACTGATGGAGGAAGAGACATGGCATCCACAGGCTCCCGCACCCTTTCTCCCTTCAGCCTTACAAGAGCATCTGAGGGTGGATGGGGATTGCTGACCCCACTTTAGAGACAGGAAAGCATGGTCAAAGTACAGCTGACCCCGGCCCCACCGGCCCTCACACGCGGTGTTCAAGCCCGCAAGCCCGACAGTCCAGGTGCGAGGCGGAAACACTACCTACTTGAAGGCTGCCTTAAGACTCTAAATTCTGCTTTTATTTTTTTTCCAGAGACATAATCGACACACAACCTCGTACTTGTTCTGCGTGAACACAGTGTGCATCTGCTATGAGAGCATCACTGTGTTGCATTAACGTCCAGCACCACACGCAGACACAGACGCGTGCACGTGAGATGGCAACTTTCAACATCTACTTCCTTAGCAACAAGAATAGAAATCTAAAATAAAAGACGTTCTAATCACAAAGCACAAGGCCTGGCCCTTGGCGGTTCTGCCTCAACTCTCCCAACTGGAGGAGCAATGCCAACCTCGAGCTGAGACCGTCTGCCTCCTCATTCATTCAGCGTCACGTCTAACAATTCGTGCCGCTGCGCGAGAAGGGGAGAAAGACCAGGATACGATTAGTTGACCGTTGAAGAAAACAGTAGGAGCCTCTCGGAATGCGTTCACGGTTAAGAGACGAGAGAACGCCCCCGCCAGCGCGCGGACTGGCCTCCAGGGCGCACGGGAGCCCTACCTGAGTGCCGAGCCAGCGCAGACAGGTCATAGCGCTTCTTGTCCTCGGTCACACTGCAGAGGAGGTCCTCCTTCTCCTTGATGCAGGCGTACTTGGTGTCCCACGTGAAGAAGTAGGTGCAGTCTACCTCCCCAGTGAAGATGGGCGCTCCTTTCCCGTCATTACCTGTGCCATTGGAGAAGGAAGAAAAGCCACCCGATTACGTGACCAAAACCTAGGGATGTCAGCCGACAAGGACACCAGCACCAGCTGGGCAGTTAAACTCCAGTCCCCAAGCCCAGACATCAGAGGCGCCGGAGATTCGAGAGGCTTCTCTGGAGTTTCCATCATCAATCCCTCAACGGGCCAGTAGGCTGTTGACAGCACATTCACCAAGGACATGAAAGGGGTGCTGATGAGGACCATGTAAGCCACCAGGCAGGGCTTGCTGCGCATGGGCTGTGGTCAGCCCCCAACGGGCTCATGAACATCCTGCGGGCTCTACGAGCACCACTGGCTTTCTGATGTGGTTTCGGGCAGGGGGAGTTCCCTGCGATCCAGCCCTAGACCGAAAGGAAAGAGTCACAACGGACAGCCGCCCCACGGAAGCGTGCGAGGCCTACGCAGCCTCACAGCTCAGAGGCACGCGTCCAGACGCCCCAGTATCCTCGGCCCTCAGGCCCCCATCACATGTGTATGCCTCCAACACCCTACCCTAACCGGTGCTCTGGTCCCCACAGCTCCAGGGAGCTCCGACAGGTCAGCTCCGGTCTGAAAGCCAGCTCTCCGTGGGCCACTTCTCTGATCCACGTAGCCTGGGATTCGGTGAACTTTGGTAATTTTTCCCTCACTAGAAATACTATCCCCTCGCCTTTCCAGGCTGGTCAACCGCTGGCATAGAGCTCTGTTTTCCACCCCTTGATGGTTTAATAATCTTCCTCTGGACCTCCTACATGATGTGCCTTTCTTGAGGTTTGGGGTGCCCTGAAGTGCACAATGTTCTAAAGGAAAGGGAAATAATATTTTGTACCAAGGGCAAATGATGTTTTGATTGCAATTTCTCTTAAATCTTCACTATTATAAACATTATAATTATAATACCAGCAGGAGCAGCTAACCTGTACTGAGCACAATCTGAGCCAGGCACTGAGCATTTAAGTGCTACGGGGGGGATGGCTGCAGAAAACAAGTTCCGGGTTAAGTACTTTATATACGTCGGCATGTTTAATCCTGAAACCCTGTGGCACAGGTACAGTTGTAGCCCCGTTTCTACAGGCTAAGGGGGGCTAAATAATTTGCCTATGGTTTCATAGCTAGAAAGCAGAGGAGCCAGGATTCAAACCCAGACAGTCTGGCCCCAGAGCCAGGCTCATAACCATAACCACAAGGCAATACTTCCCCACACTCCTGTGGGGTTTTTTTTTCCTTCTCTTTGAAACGTACACACTTTAAGCCGTTCTTTTTAAGCAGCAGCGCTCCCAGCTTCCCTTTCGACGAGGAGCCCACCCCCTCTAGTCGGCACCACGGTGCCCTCCCTCCCTCCATTGTGCGGCCCACCCAGCAGTGAAACTCCTTTGTCTCTTCACCCCACCCACAAGACTGCCGCACAGCTTACTCCTACGGGATTTGTATTTCACTGTCTGGAAAAGATTCGTGTTTCCCACATTTCTCTTTTACCAGGTAGGTTTACAAATCGTTAAATAATACTAGGAATGGTTCCGGTATCCATCCCTACCCTGGAGCTGGTTCTGCCTCTGAAACTTACTAATAACGAGGGAGAGTCAGTTTTACACGACCACCGGCCTGCACCGTACCTGTATTCTTATTAATTACTCAGCGAATTTCAGAAGAACAGGAAGCTGCGACTCCCCAGCTCAAGGGAAAGTGGATTTCTCCAGCGGTGCCGAGTTGTGCCCTGCCTGCAGCACCATGTCACATCACACTGTCGCAAAGACAAAGCTACCTGCTCACCAAACTGGCTTAGTTTTCCTCCCAGGTGCACAACTGAGCTACATTTCCCAGCCCCCCCTTGCTTCTGAGGTCGGGCCATGACACTTAGTTCTGGCCCATAACAAATGCTGCTCCCGTTCTGCAGAGTCCTTCGAGGCCAAGTGTACAGACAGCAACAACCGGATGGGAGACACAAGACGACCGTGTGGAGCAGAGTCCCACATCCAGCCCCTCCGATGACCCGCTCTGAACGGAAGAAAATACACCTTTACTGTAATGAGTCCATTAAATTCGTGAGTAGCTATTCCAAGATACTGCCCTTAGAAAAAAAAAGATTTAATGTCCTTACCTGACAAGATCACTGATAATAAGGAGCACACTGCAGCAAACGAGATGTAAGTTACTAAAACAAATAGTTGTGCGTATGCGTGTGTATGAGCATACACACATAGAGGGTAAAAGAATAAATTTATGCACCCATGTGTCATGAGCATAAACGATTCTTGGAGATCCCAGTTAAACCATAAACCACATTGTAAGACGTAACCAATTAACACCGATTCGCATGCAAAAATGTGACATTTATCCAAATAAAATCCACACTGGAATTTTTCTCTGAAAATTCTACATTTAAATTTGAATGAAGCAATAACGAAGTAACCATACAGTCCACAGTTTGCTCTGAAGTTTGAAGTACCGAATCACAGAGCTGAAAGGAATCGGAAATACTTTATAATCCAACTCCAGCACGAGAACAGACTCAAAACCCCTCACAAAACATCTGGCATCTCCCCCTCTGGTCTTTCCACCACCAGCCTAACCAACACAGGCTCGTAAGACACTGGGTTTTGGGCATCAGGGCATCTCCGTCGACCCTGTCGGCTCTGATAAAGGCTGTGAGGTCACGCGAAGGGAGGGCAGTGGGTGGTATGCTAGGACCCATCAGCAACGCACAAAGCAAATTTGGCAAAATATTAGCAACTGTTCAATAAAAAGTGGCGACTGTATGAGTTCTCACTGCAATATTCTTTCTACTTTCACATTTGGAAGTGAAGAAAATAGAAGAAGAAGACAGAAGAGGAGAAAATGGCCACTAGTATTCTTTTCGAGCCGACTCGTTGGGGCACTGGCGCTCGGGCGCGAGTCCCTCCCCAGCAGCTCCAGACTACGTGCCCTTCTCAATATCCTCCTCACCTGCTGGGATCTTTTCAGATCACGACTCTCCTCCCAGCACACCCAAGTGACATCAGTGCGTGCATAAAGATCTCAGCCAAGTCGTTTATAAAAAGCCCAGAACAGAACAAGGTCGGAGGGAGGCTGGGACTACTGGAGTCGGCCAGCAGGGGAGGGCGGGCGCCCTGGAGGCCTGCGGGCCTGGGGACACGGAGGAAGAAACAGGATGTGTTTCCAGGCCCTGGGACACAGAGTAAGGAGGGCTGGACTTCAGAGACAGGTCCTAAGAGCTTGGAAGAGGTAAAGACGATGGAAGAAAGACCGGAATCTGGGGAGAGGTGAGGACGATGGAAGGAAGTCGGGAATCCGGGGAGAGCAGCGGGGCATTCAAACCACACGGGAGACGCACCCACAGGCCACACCCAAACCAGGCTCGTCCACCCCGCACCTCCAGTCCTTGGGACTCCATGCTGACTTCCGGAGAAAACCCAACTCCTCTGCAGGACATATGAGCTTCTCACTCTCCTCTCTGGGGTCATCTGTAGCGGTGTTTTGAGGCGGCAGCTCTGACCTGATTACACCTGCCCACATCCAGCCCTCAGCAGAGCTGCTCCCTCTCTCTCTGGTCCACCCTACTGCTGCGCCCGGCTGGCTCCTCCTGCGCACCCTGTGGGGCTCACCAAGCAGTGCCTCCTCTTTCCCTAGCCGCGCTGATCCTCACAGCTGCCCACACCCCAGGCCGCTCTGACGAGGTCTCGGGCACAGTGCGTGCACGCGGCCCAGGTCCAGCCTACACGACCTGTACCATGGGCACTGTGCTCGCTCCCGCTGCATTTCCAGCCTCAACGCCAGGCAAATGTGTGGCCATCACGGCACCGCAGGCCTCGCGGGGTCTAGACATATGATAAGGACGAAACGTGTGTTGAACAAATCCACTTGAATATGGAAGTTCTCAAAAGGGACAGCAAAGAGATTCCTGGGCGAGACCGAGGGGCACGGGAAGACAAGAGAGTTCGCAGCGAGGGGACAGGGTGGCACTTTGATTTGAAGCCTTCCCATCTGCTCTACCCCAGGCTCCCTCTCCGCTGCGCCCGCGGCGGCCTGCGAGAGCCTGGTGCCGATCACAGTCTCCCAGCCGACCTCCATCACCATTGCGGACACAAGCTTCTGGAGCACAATTTATGTCGGGCACAGCTGCCTCTCCCAGAGCCCTTGCTGAATCACACAGGAGCCTGCCTCGTGACCAACGGTCACAACTCTGCCATAGAAACACACAAAACAAACAGAACAAAGAGCCAGAAAGACCCTTGGGGGTGGAACGGCCTCGAGAGCTTCTGCGGCTGTAAGCCGACTGGAACCAGGCCAAGTCCAGAATGAGAGCTCTGTGCGGGGGCTCAGTCTGCCTGCGTGCACCTGGGTCACAGCCCGGAGGTCAATGGATAGGATGGCTCTTCGATGGTGATGGCATCCCATCAACTCCCTACAGATGCAAACCATGTCCAAGATCTCCAAGATATAGGCAGCAGAGGGGCGCCTCAGTGGCTCAGTCAGTTGAGCATCTGACGTCAGCTCGTGTCATATCTCACAGTTTGTGAGTTCGAGCCCCACATCAGGCTCTCTGCTGTCAGTGCAGAGCCCATTTTGGATCCCCTGTTCCCTTCTCTCTCTGCCCCTCCCTTGTGCGCACCCTCTCTCTCAAAAATAGGCACATTTTGGGGGGCGCCTGGGTGGTTCGGTCGGTTGAGCATCTGACTTCAGCTCAAGTCATGATCTCGCAGTTCATGAGTTCGAGCCCCACATCGGGCTTGCCGCTGTCAGCACGGAGTCCGTTTCAGATCCTCTGTCCCCTGTCTGTCCCTCACCCATTTGCGTGGGCGCGCTCTCTTGGCTCTCACTCGCTCTCTCCAAAATAAACATTTTTAAAAAATGGAAAATAACATTTTTTTAATAAAAAAAAAAAAAACGATAGTAGCACAATTTTTTGAAATGCCAGTGCCATTGTGACTTCAAGAAAGCTCATCTTAACCTCTCAGGAAAACCAGACATTCTGTTTAAACTCGCCCTGGGACCTTTCGCCACCCCCACATCCAGCCTCTACCGCAGAGCCACTATTTGCAGAAAGGGTCGTCTTGAATCTTTCTTCCCAAGAGAAGAGCTCTTTGTGACAACCCCCCGAGGGTGGTGAGCAGACCCACCCCTGCCAGACCTGCACACGCTTCGGTGCGAGCCAGAAGTCAGGACAGAAACGCCTTCCTGGCAAGCCCCGTGCTGGGCCCATTCCCAAAACAAACAGAGAGCAGAGGAAGATGGAAACAGGATGTGTGTGTCACTGGCGGCATGGGACGGAAGGGGTACTCCTGCCCGCTACAACAGAAAACCCAGTCTGGGGACCAGCGGTGGCCACGTCCGAAGGAGAACGCCTGGCTGGTCCGTTCGGCATTCGGCTCCCAAGAACTCATATGTCCCAGGCACTACGACGAGCAAGGACGACCCCCCGCCCCCGCCCCCGCCCCCAGCACTTACCTGCAGTTTTATTGCACTCAAAGTTTATGACAGTCATCCGCTGGAAGCCTGAGCTGCATTCGTCACCTCCAAAATATATCAAGGTGAGGTCTCCATCGGAGTATCTAGAGGTTTGCGAGAAACACACACAGGTTTGGTACAACCAAGAAAGAAACCTGAATTGTTACACGTTTCCACGTTAAGCCTTCTGCATACCATCAACAAATCAGTCCTGACAGAACAGCCAGCTCTCCGGGCAGCTGGGAAAAAAAACATCTAAAGGAAATGAGTTCCAAATGTATGGGCCTGTCCTCTTACTTCAAAGTAATAGCTGGCTGGAAGAAAGCACTGAAGCTTTTGCTGTGAGCATGAAAACTCTTCCACTCTTGTTTCGGATTTTGTACAAAGTAAATAAGGCCCAAGGAGCACGCGGTTTGTCTAGAGACTGCCACGGCACAGTCTTACCTGAGGGATCCTTGACCATACTTCTTTGCAGAGAGCTACGTTTTCGTAATGCTTTTGTGAAGGTAACTACCAAGTTAAGGGCCACGGGAATCATACAGAATGCATTTTCTTAGTGGTTTCAAACTTTTACTAATGCTAATGGCATTACAGATTCTCGAGCTGCCAGAGAAAAATCAGAACTCCTCAGAAACACGCGTTGTAAAATGCAAAGGCCAGAGGAACGGTAACCGAATTCAATGCCTCTCCGACAGGGTGGTCCCTTACAAACAACAGACGACAAATCGAACAGCGTTAACAGAAACGGCCTTATTGGAAAGCCAGGATCGCTGACAAATGGCAGCTCTCCTAAGTCAAACGGGAAGGAACGCTGGCTTAACGGGCCTGTGTGTACTTTACAGAAAATGGAAGGAGGAAGAAGATAAGGCGAGTCAGCTCAGTCTCACAAGAATAGACACCATGCACTCAAAAATGACGTGAAGGCTGTTTACACACCGGAGGGTCTGATTCTGGTATTTTCCTGCTACTTTGACTTGAGTGGATTCGGACTTTTTCACTTGGCAAACGGCAGCTTCTTTCTTACTACAGAAAGACAATTCAACTTCTCCACAGACGTTCAAGTAAAACATATATTCCTTTCCGTCGGAAGTGTAGTAAGAGGAGGATGAAGCTAAGGAAAGGGGACGAGAGGAGGAGAGACGCTGTTACTGAGCAGGTGCCAGAAAGCGGGGGCGCTACCCGAGGCAGGCCTCACCCCTTCCTCACACACCCACCCCAACGGCGGAGGCTACCCCGGCCGCTCGGCTCACGGTCCCCCTCCGGCTTCTCTTCAGAGCACCCTCACCTCTGTCCTGTCTGAGTGGCTGGAGGTCGACGGTGACCTCGTGCTGCTCGCTGCTCAGAGAACACGTTCTGCTTTCCAGATAATCTCTGTGGCATGCATACTCAGTGACCCACTCGACTTCGTAGCGGCAATTGGATTTTGCTGTGAGCTTGGGAATGGTGCCCTATCAGGAACGGTTTGAAAAGAGCAAAATTAACGTTTTTACATGTCGACTTTCTATGCTTCTCAAAAACCCAAATGTATATTATGGTGTTGGGTTTCTACATTCTTCTGTTACTGTTTCTGAACAGTTCGATCACTTGGCGAGTAATAACTGTCTACCTGCGACCGTTCTTGTCCCGCTCAGAGCCACGCTCAAGGTTCAGCCACTGCGACCGCCCCGAACTCAAGGTCGCCCGACAGCCACAACCTCCACAGGCGGCCGTGACTTGCGAAGGCACGCGGTCTGTTCGCTCCTCTCGATCGGAGCTGAAAGGAGCAGGCCAGAGGAACCCCCGAGCTGAGCGGAAACCGCCGTGTATGCGCGTGTCTGGGCAGACGATCCGTGACCCCTGCCCTCAGGTTGTCAAAGTGGTCTTGGGCACACCTCACCTGCACACGAGTCGGCTCCCGTCCCCGGGGGGAAGCCAGGGCATCACCCCCACAAGCCTGAAGTCTGCCACTTTGCAGCCCAAGAGCTGCTTTCACAAGCGCAACCTCAGCCGCTCTCCTTGGAGTGACGCGGAAGGCTGCCACGCTCCTTCCAGGCAACACCACCCCACGAACGTTTCCCGAGCGCCTGTCACGTGCCAGGCACTGCGCGAAGGGCTGGGGCTACACACGCGGGTCGCAACTCCATCAGACACGGAGAGCTGTGAGTCCAGCTCTGTCCGTCTGACTCAAAATTGAGGCTCCCACCACCTGGCCTGGGGAAGCCAGACACTCGTGATGGGGTGCCGAGGGCTAAGTGAACGAAGACGGACGCAAAAGCCCCAGCGTGCAAGGTTCACGCATCGGACAGGCACAGAAAGGGCCAATCACAGAGGCAGAAAGTCGACTAGCAGCTGCCAGGGCTGGGGGAGGAATGGGGACTGAACACCCGCCAGGCCCAGGCTTTCTTCTGGGATGACGGAGATGTCCTCACGTCCCACTGTGCCAGAGACTGCACAATTCTGTTAATGTGCTAATAGCCGTTACGCTGTCCTTGGAACAGGTTAATTTTATGCTAAGCAAACTCAGTAAAGCTTTTTTTTTTTTTAAAGATCCATATGACAGGGTGAACATTTACTAAAAGTCCAGCTCCCAGGTACATTCCGTGAGCCTGCGTAAACACTTAAGGAGACCTTCAAGAGCAAAGGTGTCAAATGTCACCCGGTTCTGTGCGGTGAACGGTGCAGCCGGGAACAGACTCTCCCTCCACTAATAACAAATTGGCCTCCTTTCCGAAGGCCACGGAGTGCCTCGTATCCATGGAGGCACGTATCCATATCCACGGAGAAGAAAGGAGGGACACTCCCGCTTCCCTTCGCTATGGTGGAGGGAACCGTTTCTCACTGAAAGCCCCAGCAGGAAGGGGAAACACAAAGACCCCTGCCAGCTTAGACTCCACTTCACACCCGCAGGCGCCAGTGGAAAGCGCACACACTATTCCCCAGCGTTCGCCTCCAGCACCAAGGTCCGCTGCCGGCCAGGCAGGGCTCTCCCAAGCTGACACCACGCGGCCCTGGAGGTCTGGGGACACAAAATGGAAAGCTGGCCCAGACTCCACTTTTGTCTCCAAATCCCACACACACAAAACGGGCCGGCTGCCAGCCCGAAACCAGACCAAATTCCACGTTCGTTTGTGGGGAGGGGGGAGCACGGTTCCCTCGCGAAAGAATTCAGCTCCTCCCCCTTCATTCTATTATGAGGAGACAGAAATAAATGAGAGGAAAGCCCTACCCTTCCTCCCCGGGGGCTATCTCCCTCCATCAGCACCCCGCACCTGCTAGGACACTTGAACGGCAACGGACGCGTGCAACGGCACCGGGCACGGGCCCAAGGACAAGTAGACGCGGGCCCTACCCTCAAGGAGTTTACGAGTGTGCCAGAATTGAGGACCAGATGACGGGGTCATCGGCCGCGCGAGAGTGGGGGAGGAGGGGACGGAAGGCTTCGCTGCGAGGCCCTAGGAATAAGAACCTTCCTTCTGGCCACGAGTCTCCTACCTCCTTAGCCCCGCAACTCCAGCCTCTGGCCTGCACGGCCTCCGCCACGTCTGCAGAGCATCTGTTCTCATGCCTTGACTGTTTCTACAAACCAATTAGCTACTTTCACCTTGTCTCAGCCTAACAAATAATAGCCAGGGAGTCACAGGTTTGAGACTATACATATGGCCTTTCAAATACTCGTTCCAATCAGCGCGGCTATATAAACTTAAGAAATCTCTCCACGAACCGCTTAAAATCATCTCACACAAACTAGAACAAGCCGCCTCCCTTCATCAACACGCCATCCTACATCGACATATGCACAGGCCCCTCCAGGCTGTCGAGAAAAAGCGAACACCAAGCCGCTGTCCCCCTGAGACCCTCGCACATGCAGACGAGAGTCTGTCCCCACAGGCGCGTCTTCCCGGATATTCCACTGATGCATCTTTTCCCGGCCGGCCGTCTCCTGCCCCCGGACCCGCCGCCCTGGCCCGCCCCGAGATGTGCTCGCTCTGCCGGTCCCCGCTGACGCGCGCTGCCAGGAAGCCCTCCGAGGCAAGCCACTCACCTCTCTGCGCTCTGACGGGCAGACAAACGTGATCGTCACCGCCGGGCTGTGACCATCACAGAAGTCTAGCTCCCCGGCCTCTTCTTTCATGTAACTCAGGACAAGCCTGGACGACACACGTTTGGAAAAGAGGGTTGTGAAAGTATGAATTAGATTCACATTAATCTGCTTCCCTGAGTATTCGGCACGCTCCTTTGGGGGAGGGGGGAACAGAAGAAACACTTAAAGGAAACCGCAGCGCAAAATAACTCCAATCTCCATTCTAAAAAACCGTTTTACTTAAGTAAACTTCAGTGAATACTGTTCTCTTTTTAAAAATAAATAAAACGACTGACGTGTAAATTTAAATACTAAGAAAAGCCACTTGAGTAAGACAAACAAGACGAGACTATAAACGATCTGAGAAAACAAAACAAACACAGCCGAGCGGCCGAGTGCATCTCTGTCCACGAGGCTACACGACCACTTCTCTACACGGCGGCTTGTCAGTGCAGGCCAAGGTCTCTTCTCCTCTAACCTGAAGACGGCCACGTGCCGCAGCCGTCCTGCCCTCCCGTGGCCAGGCGAGCCTGGGCCACCGGTCTGTGTGCTGGCCTCCCCGCGGGATGTGCCCGCGGCTCCAGGGCTGACGGTCACAGAACACCCGAAAACAGATGACCGTCCCCTTCTCTGAAAAGCTCCAGCTTTCATTCAATGCCCACATTTTACAAAGTCCCCTCTCCTGCATGAGGAGTCACCCACCTGTCACTTAGGACAACGGGACGGGCTGAACTGTGTCCCTCTAAAATTCATATGCTGAAGCCCTAATCCCCCAGTGCCTTGGCATGTGACTGTATTTGAAGACAGGGTGAGTAAGTGACAACGAGGCCACAGGGGGGATGTGAGGAGCTAATCAGCCACGACTGGTGTCAGTATCAGAAGGAGAGACCGGAACACGGACACAAAGAGGAAACGACCAGGTGAGGACACAGGGAGAAGGCGGCCGTCTAACGAGTCAAGGAGAAAGGTCTCAGAAGAAACCCGGCCTCCCTGCACCTTGGACCTCCCAGCCTCCAGAACTGAAAGGAAACCGGTTTCTGTGGTTGAAGCCAGCCTACGGCACGCTGTCATGGCAGCCCTGGCAAACTAACACAGACACACGTACAGAAACCTCCCAAATGTTCTTAAACTTAGGTGATGCTCTGACATTTTCTGTGGACAGAAGCGCCCGCCCTGACGCACCATCAGTTCCATGCTAGAACAGCCACGATGAGCCATCTACCAAAGGCCCCTGGAAGCCAAGACGTGATCTAAGCCATGGTCATGTGGGACACACTGGAGAAAAGCCTCTCTCTGCTAATTCAAGGCTACGAGGGCAGTAGAAGCCCACGTGCAGAAAGCACGGCTTCTTACGAGAAACAAACCACCCCCCACGGGAACTAGGGTGCTCGCCGCACCCCGGTCAGGAAGCAAGCTCCGCACCCTACAAGGACACCAGCAAACCTCCCCTCTGGGGAACAGAGGACTGTGGGCGCAAAAGCAACGTCACGAGTGATGTGACATGGAGAATACCGGAACATCAGAACATGCGTTAAGGTAGGGGTTATTTCGTGAACTGAATACACGTATGGATGTGTGCCGCATCGTGACACACGTTTTGAACGACCACAGAGACAAATGACCAGAAAATCGGCAAGCAGACCAGCCTGCGTGATGCACAGCCATGACCAACGGCTCTACGAGCACACACGAAGTAGCAATCTCACAGGGACCTGCGGGGGTTACGAGCACCGAGAGCACACTCACCTGTCCTTGCTCACGAGCTTCAGGCCCTCCTTGGGCTGGCCGACATCAAACGCCCGGTCCCCCCTCACCAGGCAGGCAGCAGTGCCACGGGGACAGCCACGCAACTGTGGACTCGAGTCCCGTAGGGAGTCTGTAAAACATCACACGTGACGCTGAATCAGGCTGTGCGTCAGGACTGATGATCACGCTTAACCTTAGGCACAGGGTCCCTTTAAAAAAAAAATTATCCAATTTTTGAAAATCCCCAAAGTAACATAAAGTAGTAGAGGCCTGGAAACAAAAAAGAGCTAGGACCGAACCCCGTCCGGAGACCGTGGGCGTGCCAGTGACCACTCTGGACACGTGGAGTGAGAACAGCATCGCCTGCCCGGCATGGCTGCCAGGACGTGCAGGGAAGGCGCTCACGCTGCACCTGGCAGGGAAGAGGTGCCCGAGGAACAGGGACTATTGTGTAATCTGTACTTAAGGAACACCCCCCCACCCCCACCCTTTCCTAAAGACACACCGACTGCAG